AAAAGGTACGAAAATTGATAGTGCAAATTGAAAACAGGTAAACTCAACACAAATTTCAATTTTGTTTGCTAAAGCTTTTTCATAATTATTAAATCATTGTTTAAATGTGATCATTTGTCATATAATTAAAGGAAAGTTGTAAAGAATGTCCAAATTTTTTTTTTAATTGTTTAAAATTTCATGAAATTGTCCTGTAAACAAGAGGATTTTAGAAATATTTCAGTTAAAATTTCTAAAGGTAATTGAATCAAAAGTTCGAAAATAATACTTAATAAGTGACAGAAGCAATTCTCAAAATTATTCGAATTTGCAGGTTTTGAAATTTGAACAATAATACGGAAAATAGTGGATAGTAATTAAATATTTGTTTCAAAATCCATTTAAATTCAAAATTATTTTTAGTATTAGAGATTTGAAAATGTATTTTAAACATATTTTGGAGTTTCAATCAATTTTAGAGTTATTATTCTTTTTTTTGTAGTGGCCACCCCACAATTTTAATACAGATTTTACAGCATCGAAAGTAAAAATGTGGCTTTTCACCCCACTTCACCCTATCATTCAGAAATTTTTTTTTTTTTTTTTAACTTTGGACTTAAACAAAATTTCGAATTTGGTTATAAATTCAGTTTTCCCCTTTTTTTTTTAGTTTTACGATTAGATTTGGACCGTGGGAGGAGGCTCCTTTTAGGAAAAGTCAGGGCGATGCTTGGTATTTCAGTAAATCCATACAGAATACTGTTGAATCCAAGCCCTATTCCAGAGGATGCTGGCACCAGGAGTATTTTTGGGATGGTTCCAAACGAAAATATTATGTGCGCGGATTCTGGGCCACCGTGAGTAGCATGATCGTGTTTATTTTGCGTAAATAATAACTTTAGAATGGATTGAATAATTATTTAAATTCAATTGCTTTGAGTAGAAGTCCAACCAATCTCTCCGAGAGTTCAATCATATCAGCAAACCAGAAAATAATTCATGAAAATTCAATCATTCCGGGGTATCTCAAAATTTCTTCTTTTCTTTCTTTTAGAAAGATTTCGAACATCCGTTATTAGTCGCAGACACGTCTTTAAAGCTAATGGAGCAGCATGCTTCAGGAATTGCTCATCCTGAGGAAAATTGGTTAGTTTAATAAACAAAACAAAATATTTATTTTCTCTCTCTCTTTTTTTTTTAATATGTTTACTAATTTGTGTATTACTAGTTTGTTTAAGTCACTGCCGAAAGTCCCACCATATAACGGCTTCGTTCCCGCAGAGAAGTCCTTCAAACTGACATTTATTCAGATTTTTTATAAAAACGCGGACGGCGTACACTCCCAGAACGGATCATGGCAGTTGGTAAGTGTAAAAAAAAATTTTATTTTATTCTAAATACGGACTGCTTTCTTTTGGGGTATTCTATATACAACTTTGTTTTAGACATACAACATAGATTTACCCGAATTATGGGAGCCAATCGGGACCGAGGGACATTTATTTGGGGAAGACAATTGCAAGCCTTCTGAGGAGAATACAGAAGAGATGGGAACGGCCAATGCAGAGGACAGTGAGGAGGATTGGTTCTAGATGTTCTTTTGCTCATCCAAAATATATATACATATATTCTCCCTTCCTATAATGGAATCCTTTTTCCTCCCCTCCTTCTTTTAAATTTATATTGTAAAGAAATTCAATTTTATTAACCGTTAAGGGGAATTTAAATTTTGATAAAATAAAATTCTTTTAATTAAACTATTGCCTGTTTTAATGAAACTTCCCTAATAAGTCGGCTATCTTCAATAATCCTATTTAAATTTCAATTGCTTCCAACATATAGTAATCTTTTCTTTGAGCTTAATTGATACAATAATGTCTGAAACAAATATTAATTATGAAAAGAGAAAAAAAAACTTGTTGCATTGAATCATTTAAAGTATGTAAAAATTGGTAAACAAACGAGCCCGAGACATTTGTTTTTTTCGGTATTTAATCATTTCTAAGGTAAAACAGCATTCTTCAGTGTCGAAGGAAATCAAAATTTCGTTTGAGATTTGACTGTTAAGCGAAAGAAAGACTTATAGGGTCAGAGTAAGAGGGGAAGAGAGAGGAAAAAAAAAAGACGGAGAATCATTTTGGTTCTGTTCAGAATGATTTTCCTCTGCTGCTCGTCGCTAGCTGTGGGTTACAATTGGGCAACGTACGAGTTCCAGCCTTGACAGATTTATAGTTCTCGGGGATCGATTGACAGTATAGGTACCCGGAATGCTGATCAAACGTGCTTATTTCTCCAAATATACATTTATATTATCATTGCTTTACCTTATTTAATTAAATAAATAAAAAAAATTACCCGAACCAAACAAAAATTACCCGATTCAAACAAATCATTTACTTGGTCGTAATCCAATAAATGTGTATTTGAGTCAAATACACAAATATTGAACTAAATATTTTATATTATCGCACCAAACAATTGTTTACCCGAATCAAACACAACTAATTTAAATCAAATAAACAGAACACCCGAATTCAATAAACGGTCATTTGACCCGAATATTCCATTTAATTGTATTAAACAACTATTCATTTAAATCAAACTCAAATTATTCAAATCAGACAAATCGAATACTTCAATGTAATAAACAATTATCCGAATCAAGCATGAAAATTATTCCATTCAATATTGATAATTTCAACATCAACAATATTAAAAGTAATTAATTGCAAAAGATAAATACTGATGACAATTCATTGATAATTCACTTTCACATTTTTTTATACTTAAACGCAAATTTTTTTTTTTATATATATATAATTTTTTTTTTAATAATATTAATTATTATATCAATAATAATAAATTTATATAGTAATAATATAAATTTATTTGTAATAATTATAAATAAAATAACTTTATTGTGTCAAATAATTTCCATTTACATCAAACAAACGAAATACCTGGGTAAAATATACGAAAGAACAGCTTCAAATAGTTCAATATTTGTATTAAACCAGGGTGGCTGCTGGACCGGGAAATGACAATGAATTTTGATCTTGACCGGGATTTTAAAAAAAAAATTTTTTTTACAATTATTCATAAGCAAATTTTTCTATATTTTAGAATGTTAAATTATTATTATTATAGATTGAATTTTCAAACGTTTCAAATTGAAGTTTTAGAAAAGTTGAATTTTTAAAAGATTTTAACTAAAATTCTGAATAAGTTAGTTTTTAGAAGTATTTTTATTCCCATTTTCAAATTATTCAAAATTTCATGAAATTGTCTTGTAAACAAGGGGATTTTAAAAATATTTTAGTTATTTCTAGAATATAATATTGAATTGAAATTTTGAAAATAATTTTTAATAAGTTACAGTAGCAATTCTTAAAAACTATTCAACTTTATATAGTATAGGTATTCAAAAAAATCTATTTGAGTTCAAAACTATTTTTAGGATTTGGGAAAGAATCAAAGTTTTGTCAAAAATCAGGAAATTCTTTTAATCTTTCATTGAATAATTTATTTTCAGAGTTATTATTTATGACCGGAAAAAATAATTTGTGACCGGGAATTATTTAAAAAAAAAAGTGTCCACCCTGATTAAACAAATCTATTCATTCAATTCAATTCACCATTCATCCGAATCAAGCACGATTTATCCGGTTCAAGTAAGCATGGTCTCTTTTGATTCAACTAAAAGTACTTAAATCAATCAAACATCTTTTCAAACAATTTGAATTATTTGAATCAAACAAATCCTTTCTTCAATGCAGTAAAGTTATAAATTAGTCATTAACAAAATCGATTATTATTCGATAAATTAAAGAAATTGCAGAAAGAATTCAATTCTTTGCAACATCATAATAATTTTCCTGAATGAGATGAATCATTTAGTAATTACAAGAAAATTCTGAAAAGAATTGAACATAACTACATAACATAACAGAACATAACTAAGAGAAAATTAATTAAAAAAAAAAATTTTTTGTTAAAATTGATCTTAATTAAAATTCCCTTTTTTTTAAATTTGTACAGTTCATTTTGAATTAATTTTTATACGTAAAATTATTCATGGAGGAAAATATAATGAATTCTTTTTCTTTTTTAATTAATTAAGTCTACACCGTTAAACACCAAATAATTCTATACAAATCAATAATGCAGTTTTCAGAAAATCATCAAATTCTTTACACTTATAGATTTTTGAATTTAAAATTCTTTTCAAATTGATAAAATTTTTAGAAAATTATCTACATACGAAAGTTTTACAAAAAAAAAATTCTACACGATATAATTAAATATAATTTAATTCAATTCTAATTAATATTTATTTTTTTTTATATAAAAAAAATGTATTGATTTGTGTAGATTTGAACAATGTTAAATTTAATATTAATAATTACTTAAATTAAAGCATCCAGAATTATATTTTCCAGATTAGAATTTTCGGTATGGAATCAATTGCAAAGAGCTAAGCAAATTTAATTAAATAAAAAATTTTTTTTTTTTAATCATAATGTGTGTATAGATATTTATTAGTATAAGTACTCTCTATTTCGAATTAGTAAAAATGTTAAGTCGAGACAGGAAAATTTTGAAATAATTAAAATCTTTCTATGCTAGGGAATAATATTTAAAGGCGTGCAACGAAAGAAGGAAATGAAAATAGAGAGGTTGAAATTTGGGAAAGAGAAACTGCCTTTTCTTCGCCTAGGATTTTCTGTCGCCCGGCCCCTAATGTTTAGACGTTAATACTTCGCAAGATCTCTGACTCGATAATTTTTACGACCGTCGAGAGATTGAATGGCGCCGACAGGCGAACCCAATACCGACCCGACGTGACTAATCGTAGAAATACCTCTCTTGTGACAAATGCTCTTCTCGTTGGGTACATTAAGTTTAGGTGCCTTTAGTCTATGTTTGCCTTTTCCGAAGTGCGTGTCGTTCGAGAATGTTAAAATAAATAGTTCAAGTTTCTGTTTGTTTTTCAATATTTAAGAGTGAAATAGTGATAATATTTGAAAACCAAATTATCCATATACATATATACCTACATATATATATACACATATATATATCCATGTACATATAATCTGTACTAAAATTGGACCATAAGCGAGGGATTTTGTTGGAGCTCACTCCCATAAGCCGAGGTACGTTTAAAATTATTATTCTCCTTTTTTTTTACCATGATATCCTGAATAATATTTATTTTTTCTTATCTTGTTAATAAATTGAATTCCTGTAATTAATTTTAATATTCATGAAAGAATTCAACAATTATTTATAAAAACAATATCATTCTCGAGAAGAATTTTATAAAAATTTTGATTTACGGGAATAAAATTTTGGCAATAGTTCTCTTATTTATTGATATAACTGAATCCTTTTGAAGAATTATTTTTAATAATAATTCAATAGTTGCTAAGAGTTTTATTAAAATTTTCAAAATAATTTTAATTCCCTTGAGAAACTCTACTATCCCTGAAAATAATTGAATCATTGCGGAAAAGTCCATAAAATTGTTAAAAATTGGATTTCTGTACAAAATTTTGCTATTTTTAAAAGTAATTGAATTCTTCATAGGAACTTTATGAACATTGTTCCAAATAATAATTAATTTTTTTTTTATAAAAGAACATTATGAAAATGTTATTAGTAATATGGATTGAAATTAAATTGAAATTAAATTCTTGTGAAAATCCTTATTTGTGAGAATAACTACAACTACTCTAGTTTCGGAAGATGCGGAATTCTTTGTTAAGAAAAACTAAATAAATAATTATTAAAAAATTGTTGTTGTTTTTTTTTTTTTTTTGAATAATTTAAATGTTCGTAATCAAAATTATTTTTGTTTTAAGAGAATTATTATTTTGTTTTAGAAAAAGAAGAAAAATGTTTGCACAATTCATATTCTTAATCTTATTTTTGAAACAAGATTTTCCTCAGGAATTAAGACATTCAAAATTTCAAATTTAAACCCTTTTTAAATTGAACAATTTATAAAAGTATATTTTATTTCTTCATGTTTTCTAATAAATTAAAGATGACCGAGAGACAAAATCATTATTTTACATTATAAGAATATTATTACTGTAACTTCATCAAACTTTCAACATTTTAATTAAATTATTATTTTCTAGAATTTTAAATTATTATTGTTATTATTATTACTATTATTATTATTTTAAATTATTTTTATGAAAATAATTGAATTTTTTTTGCGATGAATTTTAATTACTTTGTGAATATAATTTAAATGTTTGCGTAGAATTTCAATAAAAGTTTCAAATGATTGAATTCTTGCAAAGAATTTTATCGAAATTTGATACTAATTGCATTTTTTTTTAAAGTTTCTTTAGTTTATGGAATAGAATCGAATTTTTTTTTTAACTGTATTGAAAATAATTGGATACCTGAGAATAATAATAATTATTAATAAAAAAAATACTTTAATTCTTGCGATGAATTTTAATAATATATTTCCTTTTAAATAATTGAATTCTTTTTGTGAAATATTTTATTAAAATCGTAGATATTGAAAATCATTAAAATTAGTAAAATTTCTGAAATAATTTAGCTTTGGAGAAGAATTTTGTTCTGGGACAGATAAATAAGTTATGAAATTAATGTTTTCATTGTCTATAATTAATAATGTATATAAATTAATGCCTAATTTATCGATAAATATACTTTCAAATCAATATTAACGTAAATTATCGAAACACGAAATAATTCTCAGCTGTTCGCTTGTGTATAGTCACTATTTTCTCTCACGAGAAGGCATTCGATAGCACTGTAAGACTTTTTTATTTTATTTTTATAGAATTTTAACGTTCAAATTACAATTATAATTGTGCAAAGAGAGCATTAGATATTATAGGTTGTAGTAAAATGATCAAATGTAGTAAACAAATTTATTCCCTTTAATATATTCGAAAATATAAAACAAATGGACGGAAACCGGGGCGTGGACGGAAACCGGTGCAACCGCGGTAAACCTTAAAGTTTCTAGACAATATAAAATGAAAATTTAATTTTCTATAATTGTTAGCTTTTTCCACCTTTAATTTGTTCAAACTTTTTGTTAGGTAATAATAATAATTATTTGTAAAATTTTTTTTTAACATTAATAAAATTTAGTTTTCTAAACATTGTTTAAAAATAGACGAAAACAAAGATTTGTCCTCTTGATGTCATTTTTCTAATTCAATAGATTAAGTTATAGATAATTGACAATAAATATACTTAGATTGCTTTTAAATAATAATTTTTTTTTAATAATTTAAAATTCATAAAATACCAATTATAAAATTTAATTAGAAGCTACGTTTGATTTAGTTCATACAGTCTATAGTTTTGTCCAACGGGGTTCTCACGTAGTCGGCGGTGACTGCCATGCTTGGCGGTGGCCGCTGGCAAATACTTCGCGCGCTCGAAAATGACGGTCGAAAAAATTAGTCATAAATACCGCGTAAATAAACCGATTTTTGTCCAGCGAATACTATATTATTCCTTGGAATCATAGTTCCAACATTTTTCCCTACTCTTGCTTGTCGTCTATCTTTAACGGAAATGCCTCAAAAATGTCTCTAAAGTTGGGGCGCTCCGAAAACGACATTTTTGATAATCTACTAGTAAAATTCTATTTTTATCATCCTACTGACTTTTGTTAATTCAATTAATAATACAATTCTTTTCTTAAACAAAATGTTTTGTTACACTTGGACAATCTTTTTAAAGACGGGTGGTAATCATGCAGTCGGCGGCGTTCTCGCGTGGTCGGCGGCGACAGCTGCACTCGTCAGTGGCCACTGGCAAGTACTCCGCACGCTCGGCAATGACAGGATCGAGAAATTTTTTCGTAAATACCACATAAATAAACCGATTTTTGTCTAGCGAATACTATATTATTCTTTGGAATCGTGGTTCCAACATTTTTCCCTACTCTCGCTTGTCGTCTATCTTTAACGGGAATGCCTCAAAAATGTCTCTAAAGTTGGGGCGCTCCGAAAACGACATTTTTGATAATCTACTAGTAAAATTCTATTTTTATCATCCTACTGACTTTTGTTAATTCAATTAATAAAATAATTCCCTTTTTTTTAAACCAAAATGCTCTGTTTATACTTAGACAATCTTTTAAAGACGAGTGGCAATTATGCGGTCGGCGGCGTTCTCGCGTGGTCGGCGGTGACTACCATGCTCGGCGGCGGCCAGCAAGTATCTCGCGCGCTCAATAATGACAGGATCGAGAAATTTTTTCGTAAATACCACATAAATAAACCGATTTTTGTCTAGCGAATACTATATTATTCTTTGGAATCGTGGTTCCAACATTTTTCCCTACTCTCGCTTGTCGTCTATCTTTAACGGGAATGCCTCAAAAATGTCTCTAAAGTTGGGGCGCTCCGAAAACGACATTTTTGATAATCTACTAGTAAAATTCTATTTTTATCATCCTACTGACTTTTGTTAATTCAATTAATAAAATAATTCCCTTTTTTTTAAACCAAAATGCTTTGTTTATACTTAGACAATCTTTTAAAGACGAGTGGCAATTATGCGGTCGGCGGCGTTCTCGCGTGGTCGGCGGTGACTACCATGCTCGGCGGCGGCCAGCAAGTATCTCGCGCGCTCAATAATGACAGGATCGAGAAATTTTTTCGTAAATACCACATAAATAAACCGATTTTTGTCTAGCGAATACTATATTATTCTTTGGAATCGTGGTTCCAACATTTTTCCCTACTCTCGCTTGTCGTCTATCTTTAACGGGAATGCCTCAAAAATGTCTCTAAAGTTGGGGCGCTCCGAAAACGACATTTTTGACAATCTACTTGCGAAATTCTGCTTTTGTCTTTTTTTTTTTTTAATTTGTTAATTTAACTAACTTTCCAAAGTTCCAAAAATATACATATATATATAATAAAAATTTTTTTTTAATGTACATTTTGTTTGCGTCTAGGTGTATTCTCAACATGAGCGAGAGGGTAACAAGATCGCAGAAACAACCCTTAGAGCCAGGGTTGAAATTATTTCAGCGCAAACGGGCTACGGACGGGCGTCCAGATCTGAAAGGACTGTATGATCATTTGGACGAGATCTATTTTAATAATGAGCTCGCAAATGCGGGCTATACGTTTCACTGGGGGCCGAAGATGCCATCCGCTTCGGGGTGCACGGATTTGCCTAGGCGCGAGGTGCGCATAAACTGGGAAGTACACAGCATGCTTCCTGAAGAAGATTTGATCGGGACCATGCTGCACGAGATGATACACGTGAAGCTATTCCGGGAGAGGAAGGATTTCGATAGCCTCAATCACACTGAGGTATTCCAAAGAGAAGTGGACCGTATCAATGCCATTGGACCCTATCGAGTAAGTTTTGAGTACCTACTGTTTCTAGTATTTTAATGAGGTATATAAGTATTAATTATATATTCATATCTTTTTAATTCTGTTTCTCTCTCTAACTTTTTTTTAGGCGGACATTATTCACCATCTTCCACAGAGAGTGACTAACCAACTATATCCGTACGTATGGAGATGTAGAAGCTGTACGTACAAGTTGCGGTCATCAAGCTCTCTGATACCTGGTCCGAGAAATGTCCATTTTGTGCGTGGGCAAAAAGTTTGCGACAACCCCTTGTGGGTCAAAGTCAAATAATTGAGTCAAAAAAAAAACACGGTCCTTTTCATTTCAATGCTCTTACTAATTGTGAAAAAAAAATAAAAATAAAACGCAATTAATGATTATTATTTAAACTAACCTATCAAAATTTCTTAATATATATATCTTATAAAGTGTTTAATTCATCTTAAAATAATTAAATTTGAATATTTAGATTACACAATGAATAATTCATTAAACTATTTCTTTTTTATGTTAAATAAGAATTTTCTTAATAACTTAATAATGAAATTAAAACAAAGTTCCATTTAGTAGAATGAGAAAACCTTTTAATATTGAATTCATATTAAGCAAAATTTGAAATTGAGTTTGAGTTTAAAATATTTCTTTTGGATTTTTATGTGTAAGAAAAAAAAATAGATAGTTAGACCTGTGAGATCAGGTTGTTTTAGATGGCGATTTTGAACGTTTCTTAGGGTCGTCGTGAACACTAACCTCTTCAAGTCGAAGATCTTCATTGTTGCCTTGCAAGGTTACGTTTGGCGGAGCTACTGGCGAGAAGGTGGTTCGCGATTCTTTCTTAATGAAGTCTCCTCCACCTGGATTCCATGCAGCTTGGAACTTAATCCTTCGGTTAGTCATCTGATCTTCACTGATGGTCTATCTTCGGACGTTGCAGACTTTATCTCCTTTTTTGGAGTAATTGTTGGTTCAGTTGAGGTTGTTCTTTGTTGTATGGTCACCTCCTTGTTGACAGCGGTTGTACTTGTAGAAGGGATATCCTCGTATAATCCAGCAACATCCTTTGGTGTTGGAGTTTTAATCGATGGTTTCCTTCGTTGTGACGTTTGGATACTCTCATCACTCGACCTTGAGAAAATTGTTTGAGAGAGTTTATATGTCCCGGTTTTCAGCGGTGATCGACACAGGTACATAAGCAGAAATGCACATAGGAGAATAATTCCTCCATATGATCCGTAAATCAAGGTCGAGTGTCTTCCTTGATTATGTTGCTGTAAGGCGAACTCTTGAAGTTGTTGCTCTAGTTCATCTAGGGTTTTTGAATTCAGCTCGAATGCTGATAAATTCGGGTTAAATTCAAGGATGGACTTCGTTAGGACTCTAGTATTCTCGAGCAGGTGATTATATTTTAGTAGTGTTGGAGAGAGTTTCGTTAAGTTTAAATGCAGATCTGATTCAAAAATAAATTCTGATTGACCAGCTTGTGAGGTGGTGGCTGGAATTATGGCGTCCTTGGTTTTAAGGGGTTCCCACATATCGACAATGCAGATCAAAAATGGTTAAAAATCTGCAACGACCGTTTCTTGAAAAATATAAGATATTATGACCTATAAATTTGGGAAAGTCATTTTTTATCATAAATACATAGGATGAGTATTTTATTTGTTGTATTTATTAAAAAAAATATATTGTTAGAAAATTAAATATGGGCAGTTTCCAAGAGCCCAAACTGCAACGACCTTTTCTTGAAAACAACAAAACAAAATAATTTTACCATTTGGCTAACTTAATTTTAATAAAAAATACACATAATAAGATTCATTACATATTTGAAAACAACAATAAAAGACTTTAATTTATGTAAACTGTTTTGTATATAAATTTGCAACAAGAACACATGTGACAGATGTTTAGTAGTTTATAGAACCAAGAGATGGCGCCAAAGGTTCCAAAAGTGACAAATTTTGATCATTTTTAACTTTAAATTAACAACAATAAAATATAATGTCTTCTTTTCGAGTGGAAATTCATTAGTGATGAAAGATACACAATTTGAGACATTTATTTTGTTCAAATTGTTAAAGAAAAATTAATGTTAGTAAATTAAATATCATGTGTCACCGAACAACTGTCACATATACACTTTACAAAAAATAAAGTTTTTATTTATTTCTGCATGGCAAATGAGTCTCATCCTCCGTATTTTCCTACAAAATTAAATTTCCCAAATGGAAAAATTATTTTGTTTCGTTGTTTTCGAGAAATGGTCGTTGCAGTTTGAGCTAGTAGTCAAAGATTTGTTACAGGGGAACTGCCCATATTTAACTTTCTAACAATAATTTTTTTCAAATAAATACAACAAATAAAATACTCATCCTATGTATTTATGATAAAAAATGACTTTCCCAAATTTATAGGTCATAATATCTTATATTTTTCAAGAAACGGTCGTTGCAAATTTTTAACCATTTTAGATCTGCAATGTCGATATGTGGGATCCCCTTAAGGGAACAGCCTGGACCCAATTTGAGGATCCCGACTTCGCTCAGCATGATCTTGATTGGACTCATGGAATGGCATGCTATTGTCGCCTTTTCTGGTGCAGCAAAGGAATAGATCCATCCGCCTATGGTAGTCAAAGGCTTCCAGTAAGACTTGGATTCGCTGGTTACTCTGATGTTGCAAAACCTTAAAGCTTCCACGTTGGGCTTGATCAACAATAAGGCTTCACAGGACGCTCGTTCACGGAGATCGTAGATTGGGGCGCCTTGAAGACAGGCGTGAAAAGATGTTGTTGTTTTACACAAATTCCATTCCTGCTCCTTTAACAAGAGGTATGTTCGTTGATCCTCGTCAGTAATAAGGTAATCATATTCAGATTTTATGTATGCTCTTCCGGTACCATTCTCGAGCATTTCCTGAGTGGTCGGGAGTGAGTGTAATTTGAAGGCTTGATAATTATATTTTTCTAAGAGTGGTATGTCGATGAGGACCTTAAGTTGATGATTCTCACACAGGATGGTGATGGTGGAGATACGCATCAGTTCATCGATGCTGATCCTAGGTCCGGTCAATGGAAACTGAACATCCTTGAGGTTATCCTGCACTTCTCGCAGAATTGGTTCCAGTTGTTCTGATGTTATGAGGCCGGGGTGTAGATATCCTTTCCTGGCTTCATGAACTGCTTCTAACATAGTTGTAGTGGCCTGCATGTTGTGATCGAGGCCCAATCTTAATGCCTTGGCGATGGCATATGTCAGATTTCTTCTCTCCATTTCGGCCTTCGACTTAGTACTTCCTACGGCAATCAGGACTTGGAGTTGTTCCTGCAGTTCCTTCAGCAAAGATCCATGTTGTTGCACCTGGGAGTGCAGCAAATCGAGTTGTGATCTCACTACGTGGGTTTGTTTTCCCACCAGGTGTGACAAGTTGGCCTGGGCTTCGTTGAGATCTTGGATGGCAGCACTATATTTTTCTCCGTCGTCATAGGTCAGAACGCCGATGATTGGTCCTGCAATCTTTCCCAGGAATCCCAATAGTGGGACTGAACGCCTTGCTCGTAGTTGGGTGGTCATCTTGGTTGGTAAGGTCTTTTTAGTATTTTCCAGTTCTTCGATCTGGACTCGAAACTGTTTTTGAAGTTCTGAGGCCATTTCCCATTTATCTTCCCAGTCATAGTATTCGACTAATTCGTTGCACCATTCCTCCTCAGGTTTACACTGCTGTTTTAGTCGCTGCAGCCTGCTCCTTAGGTCGTCAAAGAATCGAGTCTGCTTGCCCACATCCAGGAATACGGCAATCCTCCAGTTGCTGACGGACCTCCTGACTTCTCCGATATATTCGAAATATATCCCGCTGCTGGACTTGAAAGGAGTGATCTGGTAACGATCACTGGCGGTAGTCATCTCCACATCGTGGGAATAGGTCTGCTTCGTTGTCATCACTAAGGTTAGGAAGAGGCATGTCAAAGTTAGATAATTGGTCATCATCGCTTGTTTGTCAATCTAGAATCAGAAAGAACAAGTTAATATGGGTTTAGAATTAAGTCAGGAATTTCACAATTGGGCAACCCTGACCTTATCCCTATGTTTTGCAAACCTTTCACCGTTTTTGGTTTCGAGGATCACATTGTTATTCTGTGTGAATCCTACAAGGGTATACGGTCCTTCTGCGCGCTTATCAAACTTATTTGACCGAACTTCTTTAAAAACATACACCTTGTCGCCTATTTTGGCATTCAAAGGTCGTGCTTTACGATCGTAGATCTCTTTTGATCGTTCTTTTGATCGAACTAGATATTTAGCAGCTAAATTTTGCAGTTCGTTCATCCGGGTAATTAAGTCTTTTAGATAGGATCCATATGTTTCGATTTCGGGCCCTTTAGGTAACGAACTGGGTGCTTTAGCCAAATGTCCAAACACGAGTTCGTATGGGGTAAAATTGGTTGCCTCATGAACGGACGTATTATAATTAAACATCGCAAACGGAAGCAAACGATCCCAATCGTCAAAATCCTTCGCGTAATGTTTAATATAATCCGTCAGTTCGATGTGACTTCTCTCAAGTGCCCCGTTAGTTTGTGGGCGGTAACCAGATGTCGTAAGTTGTTTAACGCCAAAAATTTTTTCTAACTTACGCATCAAGGTGCTAACAAAACTTGCTCCTCTATCCGTTAGAATGCAACGGGGTGCTCCAAACACTGAGAATAAGTTCGTAGCTACCGCATGGGCAATTGTTTTTGTTTCTATATTCGGAATGGGGACCGCGATACAGTACTTAGAGAAATTATCCTGCATTGTGAGGATGTGCCGATTTCCGTTTGGGGTGGTTCGCAATTTTCCGACGGTGTCTAAAGACACCTTGTCAAAAGACATTGCCGGAGTATCGGTAATTATCATCGGTTCTCTTGTACGGGCCCTAGCGAGCTTGTTTTCGAAACAACTCTTACATCCTCGAATAAATTGGGTAACGTCGTCGCGCATCCGGGGCCAGTAGTATCTTTCCCTAATTCGTCGGTAGGTCTTGCCTATACCTTTGTGTCCACCTATCAAACTGGAATGAAATTCGGAAACGATTTTACCGCGTAGTTCGACTGGGGGTACTTCAATTTTTCCGTGGCACAAGGTGATGGCTGCGTCGCCACCGCGGAAAATTCCTGCGACAAGTTCCGACATTTTATTTTGAGGGAGTGTACCTAGCAGGTCTCCGGAATTTGCCATTCGACAAGAATTTTAATTGTTAGATGCTAAGGCTTTTCTTAAATTTTTTAGTCCGATTATAACATCTTTCCAACA